TAAATTTAAAAAATAAAAAAAAAAAAAAAAAAAAAAAAAGTGATTGTCAATTTTTTAGGTAAGGTGATGAAATTTGAAAATAAGTTCAATTATATAATGAATCCAAATAAGAAAATCACCCAAAAATAATAACAACTTTACATTATTATTAAAATATTTACAACTTAGCAAATCATTATTATTATTATTTTCTGGTATCACATCAACTAGTGAATAAAAATAATGCCACACGACGTCGTTGAATCAACTAAATAATCATTAAGAGCAACACGGAAAACTTTGCAATATTATATGATAGAACTATTTTAACTAACAATTTGGCATGATCAGACATGCATGCATTATCAATGGTGTCTTGTCACATTTTAATTAATTTAATAAATATGTTTGTTTAGGATAATCATTGCAAATTAAAGTTTTATTAAATATGAGTGGCTCAAACTTTTTCGGACAAACTCGTCTCCTAGATTAGTGTCTAGGAAAGTTAGATCGTTCATGTACTAGATTCAAAAGTAGTTTGTGTTGGATGATGAAAGTCTCATATCGACTAATTTAGAGAATGATTATGGGTTTATAACCAAAGAATACTCTCTCCATTGGTATGAGACTTTTTGGGTGAACCCAAAGCAAAAGCAAAACCGAGAGTTGTGTTCAAATACCTGAAATGTTTATAACTCAACCTACAAGGTACGATATAATTTGGGTTGATTAGATTTTTTTGACATCTTGTAACAATCCAAGCCCCACTAGTAGATATGGTTCTATTTGGGCTTCCAGGTAGAAATTTTCACCCTTATAGAGAATTTTTCGTTCTCGTTTTCAACCGATGCGGAATCTCACAATCCACCCTATTTTGGGGCCCAACGTCCTCGCTAGCACTCGACAATCCAAGCCCCACTAGTAGATATGGTCCTATTTGGACTTCCAGGTAGAAATTTTCACCCTTATAGAGAATGTTTCGTTCTCGTTTTCAACCGATGCGGGTTCTCACAATCCACCCTATTTTGGGGCCCAACGTCCTCGTTAGCACTCGTTCTTCTCTCCAATCGATGTGGGATCTCATAATTCCTCACTTGAAGGGGTCTAGCATGCTCACTGACATTCGTTTTTCTCTCCAATTGATGTGGGATCTCATATATTGTACACTCCTATTATATATATATATATATATAGCAAAATTATCTAAACTTCAAAATTAAAAAAATAATAATAATAAAATTAATGGGATGATTCCATTTTAAGTCTAAATTACCAACTAATTAGTTAGATCAATGACTATGGGACCCAAAAACTACGGGTCCACCAAAGTTGGCCTTAAACATTACACCTTTCCAAGGCAGTTGGCCACAATCAATTAGGGCCTTTATGCAATTATATATATATATATATATATATATATATATTTTTTTTTTTTTTTTTTTTTTTTTTTTTTTTTTTTT